AAGTATTTATAACAAGCTATCTAATTTTAATCTAAAATAATGAACACCTGCTGCTCGTTTGTAAAATTGTGTATTTTGAAACTAGGTTAATTCACATGATTCTGTGGATGCTAATAAGATGTGTTCAATACATCAATGGAATATCCCATTTATTCTAAATAATGCCCACTTATTTTTTTTACTCTCGCTTTATAAAATGTAATCTCTGCAACATATATTTTTATTTTATATTTTTGTATAATTCGTTTTTGTTACATTTTTGAATTTTTAAATAAAAATTCAGTTGAAATCCACACAAGATCTCTAATGACCAAATTAATGTCTAAGTCGGAACTCAATATGTTATTGAATACTGTTTGCTATCCAATTAAATGAAGTGGCTTTCTAGAGTAATTTTCAGCAATGAAGTTCGAGTTAAAAGGATTGCACTGAAACTTTGGCCCTTATACAAAATTGTCCATTAGTTTTGAAGTTGGTAAAAAGATCGGTTTTTCACCATTATTCCTCTGGGTATGTATTGTTTATCAATATTTGTCATTGTGACAATATATGTATATGATATCTAGAAAAATGTACCAAACGGGTTCATAAAGCGGGTTCTGAAAACAAGTGCCAATTTAGACTGAAAAATTTCATTAGCAATAAGTCAAACCGAATTTCAATTTTGTCTAATTAATCTAAATTTCAAATCGTATTTCTTAATAATTTAGTATTAGTAGATCGATATCTTCGAATGATTTTTTGATTAATGAAGGAAAAAGAGATAAGGGGAAGAATAGAGGAAGGAAAAGTGACATAGGGAAAATAAATAGGAAGTAAAAATGAAGAGACAAAGGGGGAGTAGAGAGGAAGGAAGTAAGGGGACGTAGAGAGGAGGGTAGATGGGAAAGTAGAGAGTTAGGAAATAAGGGGAAAGTAGAGAGGAGGGTAAAATAAAGGAATTAAAGCGTGAACGGAGAAGTAGAGAGAAGGAAAGTAGAGAGTTATGAAATAATTGTCAGAGGGGAAGTATTAAGTTGATGGATCAGGTACTAGCCAAAGAGCCTGTGGGGTATTCTCTTATATTGAGAGTACTCATTTTACCTCCGTGTATTGCTTGAAATTACAGTACTCCGAAGAGCTATTATGGATAGCTGGCACCCATCTCTGTAACAGATTTTTAACTGTAGCACAATAATGGTTAAATTTTCATATAAAATAAATTCATAAGTATCCTTAGCGGTCAAATAAAATATTATTTGTTGTTAATATTTCTCGAAATTTGCAAATTTAAATGATTTTATTCAATTTGTATTCATATATAAACCCATTTATAATGTACTCATAAGGAAAGTTGGTCGACGTGTTTTATTCCCATTACTAGTGTGAGGTAATGATTGAATACACGGTCTTATAGACTAGGAAGTATAATAAAATACATCTTCACAATATCAAGCTATTACGAACTACGTCTTATACCTTGACTGCAGTGCAACAGATACCTTTATCGTGGAACTTTGCCAGGGAAATAATAATAATAATAATAGTAATAATAATATATTAATAACAAGGGTGAAAAATCAGGCCAAAGGACTCTTTACAATATTGCCTTGTGAAATAAGACAACATAAAAATTGGATAATGATTGGATTGTATTCTACCGAATACAGCCTATGGGAACCTCGGCAGAAAGTCTGTCAACTACAAGTCATAATGTTTACAGTTGTTATGTCGAGAGCTGTGATTGGCTATATTTGCCGGCGAATCGAATCAAATCATTGCATTCTGTGATATAAGAAAAGTGGCTATTGCAGTCAGGGTATAAGTTCGTATTGGCTTGACATTGTGAAGATGGTTCTATTTATAATCAAGGAAGTATAAGATGATATAGATCTTCAATAGTCAATATTATTATATATATGACAGTATTGACATGTATTGTGTCATACATAGAACGGTGTTATTATGTCGAAAGATTTTGTTCCACACCTATGTGTTTTATAATGTAGGAATATTCACATAATTTTCGGACAATTTTATATCAATGTACTTTTCGAGGAAATCAACTCAAAGTTGTTCTGTGGTTATCTTAACATTCGACGAGTTTACAAATATGAAAATAAATTGTGATATTAATTCAGTTACAAAGTAGACTGAGTATTACAAGTATAACAGGCCTACATGGTTACAGAAATGAGAGGGTTTGGATTCTTGTGTTCCTAAAAAAAGTTCTCTTTGACATTATAACGATGCGGAACACAATATTGCTTGTGATAGTTGTCAGTGTTTGTTGGCGAATGGTAGATGGAAACACCAGTAAATATATTTTAATTTCTGGATATGTCATTTTGTTTAATATATTGTTTTGTTGTTATACCCCAATGAAACATATATATATAGCAACCAGTATCACGTCTTAAACGAAACGCATACGTGAATGAATTGAAATCCTACAACCACCTAAATTTCCATCTGAATTTTGTTCTTTGTGAAAGAGTTTACTAATAAAGGGTTGTTATCGATTAAATCGAATAATTATGCTTTAGGATTGCGTATGATTTGCAATATAAGGCGGGCAATGTTAAAGGGACAGGTAGGCCATTTTTATTCACCAAACGTACTTAAGTCTCTGAAAGGGGAATTTTTTAGATAAGCCAATCAGTTCTAGTGTTCACAGCTCACCGTCGAAATTTGAGCCTTCAAATCCATGTGTGTCCAGCTTTATCCGCGATTGAATGTTAAAATGACGACTCGTCAATTTGAAATAATCTGTGTTATATAGAAAAGACATATATAGAAATAGTGAGTTAAATTCCTTGTTTGAAGTATTTTTAAAGGAATTATGCGATTTTCGTACATTTCTAATACTTCTGAAGACTATTTACATATATTCGAGATTAAAATCAACCCCCAAAATGGCACACCTGTCTCTTTAACTGCGTTACTTGCAAATTATCCCACTAATATCACTCAATAAAATAAATGTCACAAGGCGGAACAGAGCAATGTCACATACCGTAAAAGATAAATCTTCCTTTGAATTCCTTTTGAAATTGGCCGTCTTCACAGTTTATTAAAAAATAAACACAGTGACAGGGTAATTAAAAGTAAATGACTTTATATTTTAGTCCAGATTCCATAATTCAGAAACATTATTTACCATTTTAGATTGCATTTACAGAAATCCATAGCATTGAATCGACCATGCAAAAATTTTCTCTTCTGAAAGTTGGTGATAGCTTTTGTCATACAATCCTAGTCTCTATAAAGCTAAGCAGAGATTGCTGACGGTTTATTTTCTCTATCTGATTATGGAATCAAACTTTTCAATAGTATAATCTTTAAATGACATTTAGAAGTAGACGTAATATTAGAAACCTAATCTGTCCTTTGATTTGAAGGGACATTCCGCAAATTATTATTTGCTCAAATTTGTGAAAACTAAACACCAAGATCTAGAGAAATGTGCCCATTAACGTATCAGAAAGTTTAACTAAAAAAATACAGCAAAAAATATGTAAAAACATTACGTAAGGTTTTAAGTTCGTTATGCTTTTGGAAGTTGTTAGAAAACTACTGTATGGAATTGAGTACAATAAACGCCTAATTGTAGTCTCCTACGTATTCGAAAGGTTTCAACAAAATATAACTCCAAAACTAGGTCGAACAGCTTAATTAGCAATTAGTACTCTCCGTTTTTGATTAACCCTTTTAAAACAAATTCAGTTTGATCAAGAAGATACATAGATATAAATAGCACATTTATTTATATATAATTCATAATGCTTTTGATTATGAAAACATTTTACAAAAAAGCGAAATGTCCCAATTCACATACCGGAATCTTTATCAAGTATTAGAAAAACTGGTTGGAAGGAAGTTCTGATTTTGTTTCATTGTTGAATATTATTATGAAATAATTGTTATTTTCTTATAGTTTTAGTTGATATGTGTGAAAACAAGACACTGACAATGAACTCTGTTTTCCTATCAAGAACTAACAAGGAGAATTCGTCTACCAATTGTTGGTGTCAAATAATATCAGAAACTGGAAGTTCAACTCAAGTTTTTTTCAATGTCTCTAGTTTTAACGGTCATCAATACAAGTTGTCTGTTTCCAATGGATCTACTACCAGTTATTTTGATAACATAATGTCTGCAGATATTTTCCACACCATTTGTAGATCAATGGAGATAAAGATAAAAGTAGAAGAAAACAATTGTTCTGTAAATAATGGTCTAGAATTTGGAATTAAAATTAATTCTTACCCAGGTAAAGCAGTTTCTCATTATATTCCACTGTCTGTGCAGAGTCAGCCATGGGTTGTGTTTCTTTTTTTTTTGGAATTCAGAAATACTTAAAATCTTATATCATTGGAAGTATGTTTTTGACTAGGTGTTTCACTATAGTTGCGAAGAGACGTGTGATAAACCATAGTTTGCGATTAATGACATGATGAAACACTTCCTTTGTGGAATTACAGGAACCACAAACGTCTGATTGAAAATTGGAATGGTGCAAATTGATGCCGTCAGTGTCCCAGATATTCAGAAAATTTGAGAAAACCTGGAGCATGAAAAATAGAATAATGTCTTAATTGTATGAATATTTTTAACATATTTATTGATCACTTTGTAGGTCATATTAATATAACTTGTCACAATCCAAATGTTTCAACACCAGAACTCTGTCCCCGGGGTACAACCACCAGTACAAGTCAAGCTACAAGTGCAGTACCAACTACAAGTACAGTACCAACTACTAGTAAGGTAATAACTACAAGTCCAGTAACAACTACAAATACAGTACTAAGTACAAGTGAAGTAATAACTACAAGTCCATCAACAACTACAAGAACAGTACTAAGTACAAATGAAGTACTAAGTACAAGTGAAGTAATAACTACAAGTCCATCAACAACAACAAGTCCAGTAACAACTACAATTCCAATCACTATGACAAGTTCATTGATAACTTCAATTCCAGTAACAACTACTACAATGCCAATGACCAGTACCGTACCAACTTCAAGTACAGTGACAATCACAAGTACAACAACCTCTAAAATCTCAGATATTGCTCCAACTGGAACATCTGTAGAAATATCTTCAACTGAAAAAACATTAAAAGGAACTACAGATAATCAGAATGAAATAACTACCAGCGTTGCAGTCGCAGATGTTCTTGGTAAAAAGCTAAAATAGTTATAGCACAGTTTTCATGTTATGGTATAATCGTTGCACATGCAATACTGTTTTTATACGCCCACATGGAAATGTGGACGTATATTGCCGTCGCCCCTGTCCGTCCGTCCGTCCTTCCGTCTGTCCGTCGGTCTGTTCACATTTCTTGTATGCACGATAGAGGCTACAGCTTTTATCTGATCTTGATGAAACTTAGTATGCATGTATATATTGATGAGATCTCGGTCAAGTTCGAAATTGCTAACAATCGGATGAACGGTTTCAGAGTTATGACCCTTGACTTAGTAAAAACGCGTTAAATGTGGCTTGTATGCACGATAAAGGCTACAGCTTTTATCCGATCTTGATGAAACTTAGTATGCATGTATATATTGATCTTGGTCAAGTTAGAAATTGGTAATAATCGGATGAAAAGTTTCAGAGTTATTGCCCTTGACTAAGTAAAAATACGTTAAATTGTGTTTGTATGAATGATAAAGGCTACAACTTTCATCCGATCTTGATAAAACTTAGTATGCTTGTAGATATTGATAAGACCTCAGTCAAGATCGAAATTTGTCATAATCGGATGAACGGTTTTAGATTTCGGGGAAGGGAGGGTTTGATTCTCTCTGTACAGGCCTATACTGTAAAAACTAGGTGTAATTATGCACCCAAAACGGTGTAAAGTTAACACTATTAATGGTGTATTCTTATTCATACTCCTTTAAGGTGTAATTGAATGATTTTGAAATACACCTATGAGGTGTAAGTTAAAAACACCCCGATAGCACTTGATTTAGTGCACGAATACACTATATTAAGTGTTTACACCTCGTTCACACTCTAATGGGGGTAATCTTTGGGTTACACCTTCAAGATTTATTACGTATTCTTAAAAACACTAGATATTGTGTTATGTTACGCTTATTTAAGTGTTAACTTAAAACACCTCAAATAGTGTCATCAAAAATTGTCCCCCTTCGACCACGAACTTAAGCATTTGATTACATGTTGACATCTGAATGTGTGTTATGTCGACATTAAAATGAATATTTCGCCATTTTATTAGTTACAGTTGGATTAAGAAGTGGGAATTTTCCCATTAGGATTAAATAGCGAACAGCACCGTATTTCATCAGTCGTATGTCACGTGGTCTAAGAGGCCGTGATTTTCCCAATCAAGTTCGGCCGAGTACATTCCAGTCCCAGAAAAAATGGCGCAAGATAGATGTACAGCTCGAGACTCTAGCCCATCAAGAATATAGTGGACATGATGGAAGACTAACTAGTAGGTAATATGACCATGATTTTGAATTTTCTCTTAATCGGTAGGCTCAATTGATTTGATGCTGGTTCGATAAACTTATTCAAAATTCTATTGTCTGAGCAAAGTGAAACGTGTTTTTTTTAATGTGAATTGGAATGACAGCCTCAAATTGGTCCTGTTAGTCTTTGCGTTTATAAAAAGTGAACATGAGCTCACATTATGTCAATTTTAACAAATTGAAATTTCTAAAGACATTCTTATCTAAGTCAAACAGTATTGTTTTGAAAATAGAGAAAATATTCAAAGAAAAAAACCTTTTCGTTACTCTATTAGCCCAAATTGGCCGAATCATCATGTTAAAATACAGGTGTCTGTTTCTCAGTTCAAACGAAATTTCACAAGGAAATTTCTATCCTGGAGGGAACTGAAGTGTAATTTTTTGCAATTTAAAGTAATAAAAATTCATATATGATTGATTTAAATAATCAGATGCATGTGTTTTCTTTCAATTCAGGAAATATTAAGGTTTTTGTATCAGTTGGTTAATGGATAGCTACTTAGTTTTATGGATTTTAATTGGATTAAACAGGGATTCTGTTAAATGGATATGACACCAGGTAAGTCCATTGATGAATAGATATTTCATTTCTTATTTACCTATTTTGATGATTTAAATTTTATGTTAAAAGACTGACAAGTAGACATGTCTGTCCAAAACAGACAGAGAACAATTCTGAACAAGTTTAATTTTTATTTATATTTCTAATTTGAATCAAAGCTGCCAATGTACTTATTTTTCTTGCTGACAAGTTATGTATCAAAAGCGTTGAAACTAACCTAATTTAGTGTGCAAATACAATCCAAATGTTACTGAGAGGAGCCAGATCATAGTTGTTAAATCTCTGTTAAGTCAAGCCAAGATTGAATTATTGAAACTTATCAATTAAAGAAAATGTAAAAACAACAATGTCCTTATTCTGTCTTTTTATATTTCAGGAAACTGATTCATGAGTCAAAATACTTGATAGACTAGCAACTCCATCTCCTTACATTGCTAGCATTGGTGATTTTCATTCATCAAAAAACTTCTACATTGTTATTGATTTGACTATATTGATAAAAACAGTTTTCTGAAAGAATTATATTATTATTTGTTTTCGTTTTTCTATTGAAGATGAAATGGATATTAGATTGTGTTTAAAACATGTCATGATTAAAACTAGCTACATTTATATGAAAAATGTTTGTGTGTTAGTTGACCCATTACTAAGCTTACTTATTAGATCGTTTGAGCTAGGTGTTACCCAGTCCTTAAATTGGTCACATCCACACCTTACATCTTATACTATTGAAATCTTATTTGTTTAAATGAAGTATTCAATAACACCGATATTAGTGCTTACTATATCTACCCAAGTGTAAACATTAACACTGTTTTAAGTGTATAAGTTTGGATAAAGCGTACAATAAGCACCGAAATTGGTATTAATTCACATATTTTACACGTTAAGAAGTGTATAAGATTACACTGAGTGTGTGTAAAATAAGCACATCGGGTGTATACACTCATGAACCACACCAACAACCGTGTAAAGAGGAACATCTAACCAAGTGTATTCAGAGTTTACACCTCTTCGAGTTAACAATTAACACACCCGTATTAGTGTAAGGGTATCCAGGATATAGTGGAAACTTGCACCAACATCGTATAACAATGCAACACTAAACATGGTGTAGGGTGGCAACTTAGTTTCCACTCAAAAAGGTGTTAACTAACTCATTATTTTTTACTGTGATGTGGAACAGATACTGATTTAGAAATTGGGGTTAAGGGTCTTGATACTGGGTTTTTCTTCTGTTCTGATCTGAAATTAGAAAAAATAAATCGCCCAATCGGCGAGAAGTATAGTATCTGTTATGTACTGATTGTTTTTATTGGACTATGAACAGGGTTATTGCCCTTGACTTAGTAAAAACACGTCAAATTTGGGCTGTAGGCACGATATAGACTATCAGTTTTTATCCGATCTTTATGAAACTTGGTATGCATGTATAAATTGATGAGATCTAGGTCAAGTTGGAATTTGGTCATAATCGGATGAACGGTTTTGGAGTTATTGCCCTTGACTTAGAAAAATTTGGCTTGTAGTCATGATACAGGGCACAGTTTTCTTTATCTGGGCCCTTTCCACTAAACTTCTTAAATCCAAAATTATCTTTAGTTTGTCTTGCGTAAGAAAAAATCGAAAATTTGAGTTTCACTAAAATTCTTATGCTAAGAAATTTTGGCGTAACTTACGACAGCTATACCCTATCCTAACTATTTTCTTAATTCAAGAAATGCTTCAGAAAAGATGAAATGAGCCAATTTCTGTTTTGAGAAAACTTATTAATATCAAAGCCTTTGAGGTTTTTCGCATTTTCCTTGCATAATTTGCCTTATTTTTGCTGTTATGACCATTCAATTTTTCGACTGTCAATCGTTAGTAAAGTTGACGTCGTAAATGACAAGGTGACGTCATTTCACGCTTTAAAATCTTACCACCATTTTGCGGAAGAATTAGCAAATTTTCACCACTATAGACTTTTTAAGAGTATTTAGGGGACTTAAGAGTTTTAGGAAATATAATTATTTTCTGTAAATTGATGAAATAAAGATATAAATTCAAGTTATTGCCCTTGAATTGATTCAATGCGGTTGTTTGTAACATCATTTTTTGTAATACTGGTTACAGATATGAAAAAAATCAAATGTCCAAATTGTCGATACGTAGAGACTTTGAATGATATCATTAAGAAAAGTCTATTATTGAACATGTTTAAATAATTCATTTAATGAAATTAATTTTAACATTGGTCGCAGTTTATATATTAAAGGGAGCAATGCGCCATTTTTTACCAATTGTACCTTTGTCTCAGACACGGGAAGAATTTAGCTAAGCCAATAAATAATAGTGTACACCGTTCAAATTTGAGCCTTCAAATCCATGTGAGTCCAGAGTTATCCGCGTTTGAAAGTTAAAAAGACGAGTCGTCTTTTCTTGAGACATTGCCATATATAGAAATAGGATAAGAAATTCCTAGTTTGAGATATTTTTGAAGCAATTATCCGATTTTCGTATATTTCTAGTATTTCTGAAGACTATTTACATATATTCAGGACTAAAATCAACTACCTAAAATGGCGAACGGGTTCCTTGACATGGACACTTGAGGTTACTTGAAAATTGACTTTTATTAGAACCAAATTCAGTTGTGCATTGGTACTAGAAATAGCATTCGTAGCATCCTTGTAAGAGGAAAGAGATGTGTCATTATTTCCTCAAATGAATACAATTCTCTGTGCTGTAAAGTAGAACCAAAACCGAGTTCTTCCAAATTCAAAATTTTGATTGATCATTGATTTGCTAATTTGTTATAGCACAATTTTTGCTCTAGATTCTCTTTTACTGCAATGTTCTATAAATTATTTCAGATATTGGTTTGATCGGAGGAGTGGCTGGTGGCGCATTGGTATTAATAGTTCTGATCTTGATTTTGATAATTTGGCAAGTAACTCACTTTTTTTACTTTACTAATTTTTTCCTATGTTACACCCTACTTCATTGATACTTGCTAATGGTCGTCTTTAAATTGTGTAATTGAATCTTTACAGCAGGGTTTATAGGCTAGGCAGTGGCGTGGTGATACTTTGGGGATTTTTGGAATGTATCGCACCGTCTCTGATCGACAGAATACAAATCCCAACAGTTGACATGGATGTATGGTGTTCCTCACTTTGGTCATCTTCACAACTTTATATGGATACATTATGTTTTATGATGTATTTTTCAGTCTTGTAAGACGTAAACGAAAAAAGAAAAATCAGCACGATCAACGTGGCAATAACTCGTCTCCAAATGGAGTTATTATCGAAGATAATGGTATTTATGATAGTGCTGAGCAAAGATTCAATCGTCCAATTCAAATGGAAATTATAGAGAATGATCTTTATGTGAGTTCAGATGACGTCATGAATTTCAATTCCAGTGATGATGGTAATACTGATCAGATTCCGGAAGTCGTATATGCCGTTGTAAATAAAGGGTTTAAATCTGATAAGCCTTCGAAAGAAGCATCTGTAGACAGTGGTTTCTCTATGTCATCAAAAGAACCCAATAGTGGTCATGACCGGAAGTTCTTTCTTGGACCTCAAGGCGATGAATATACACTTATACACAAAACATAAATCGACTTTATTACGACTTAATGATCTCATTAGAACATTTTAATCTAAGATGTAGAAAATTGTACATTTTGTAATTTATTAATTCAATTTCATTCTATGTATATTACTTATATCTCAAAACAGCTTTCGTATATCCGATAAAATATGGACAAGGTTTTATATATTCTTGCTCAGTGGCGGCATCAATGGGTAAGATCAGTGGGTAAGCCCAACCAAGAAAATGGTGTGTCCCCCGAATTGTACCCCGATGACTTTTTATCATTTTCAAAATATTTTTTAATTCATTTGTATTTAGTATATAGTATATTTAGAGTGGATGTAGCGATGTCTGTATATGCGCTCATCTGTTGTTTTTTTTGGGGGGGGATGTTTAATGCTTTATTTATTGTACATAACAATATTGTGTACTGGGAGAGGGGTTATATTGGCGAAAGTTTGTTCCCAGATCCTTTTTTACAAAAATATATTGTAGCCCACTTGTTTTTAGCAAATTCAAATAAAAATGAATTTTTTAAACGTTTCTGTGTGTTTTTATGTGTCAAAATTTACCAAATCAATTCAATTTTCTGAAATTTTATTTTGAATTTCAGCCTCGACAGTTGTACCCCATTTGCCGTCTGCTCACTGTTTGTCCCACTTCCCCCTCCCCCGGATGCTGGGGCTGTCACTATTCTCGCTTTATAAGATATACACTATGCTATCTAGTATAGATATTTCTGTAAAATATATCTATAAAAATATCTCTGTATAAATATTTAAAGAAAAATCAGTTGAAAACAAAATAAGATCTCCATTACCAAGATGGTGTTTAGCCAGTGTCAAGGAGTTATAATGGAGAACACAATATGTTACCTAAATGCTCAGTGAATACAGTTAAACACATTTCATGGGAGACACTTAATGCTTTCTTCTGTTTCATATAAATTATAGTAAAAGATTGTGACTTGTCTTGACGTTTGGATTCCAACAAACGCATCCACATAAGCAAGTGTAGTTTGCAAAGCCAATTTTGTACATTTATTGAAGATTTAAATACAGCTATTACGACACTGTCGTATACAGACCACTTAGATTAAAAGTCTTTTGTTGAAGTCTTTGGCTGTCGTAACTGTCATTAATAAACATGATATTTGAAGCGTTCAATTGGTATACTATTCTAAACAACAATAATATTAAATATTAGCCTATTATTACTGAATGTTTATATTAGATATCTTGTATGGTTCTATTGGAAATATTGAATTATATTACAGTTTGGTTAAATCATAAAGATATTGAAAAGTGTAAAGGAATTGCTTTCAAATGGATACACGAGTGAAATAAAAATGACCATATAGACTCTCTGACAGGGATACCGAGTTGATGACAGTCGCGCGTCAAATTGTCACGATTGGTGGATGGTCGTAAAACATATCGTACACATTTAATACAGATTGGCTGGACACACAACACAGCCATAATTAATGAACCAACTTCGTCTTATACCTTGACTGCAATAGCTACCCTTTTATATTACGTTTGGTTGGATATGCAACGATTTGATTAGACTGGACGCCAGCGAATACAACCAATCAGAGGCTTTAACAAAAAGTCTGTAATCAATAATGTTTACAGTCTTTCCTGGGGCTCTGATTGGCTGTATTCGCAAGCGTACAATCCAATCAAATCGCTACATTCTGTGATGCTAGAAAGTTGGCTACTGCGGACATGGCATAAGACAAAGTTCGTAATATCTAATATGCTGTGTGTTTAGGTTTCCCCTTAAAAGACATTCTTATTGCACATTTTATATTTTACTTACAGCTGATATCTCTATTGTTCAGCTTTTCTTTTGATAGAGACATTCTCATTGCATACGTTTTAGTAAACGTACAAACAAAACGTACGGTTCTTACATGGAAAAAACACAAACGAACGTAGTTAATAACCATTTGGAATCTCTTTCTCGACTTAATAAGTCGAATATTGAAAACGAATGTAATATTTCAAGTATAGACTTCAAATCACATTTAAATGTTTTGAAATGGCTTTCAATGTGTTTGACTTTGATGAAATATTATAGCCTTAAAATTGAAAATTCGACTTATTGTGTCAAGGTTGTGATTCAAAATGGCCGTTAACTACGTTCGTGTGTGTTATTTCCAAGTAAGAATTACTCGTAGTCTCGTATGTATTACGGGTTCACGCGAGGAAAACATTTGACTAAATGTATTTTAGTATGCAGTCTTATTTAAACCTAATGACACAAATCTATGTATGCATACATATACAATTTTATACACAATACAAACCAGCTAATTAATGGCCCTTACAATACAGGTTATTAAATCATGAAAAACCGTGTAAGAGGAAGTATTGCATTAGGATTGTAGTGCAAATTAGCTTTATTAAATGAATATTCGCATAAATGTAAAAAATGTGCAATGAAATAATATATAAAAAAAATTCTGAGGTGTCTATTCCCTTCACAATAAGACATTGGTTAGAGAGAGTGGTGCTTCAAGTATACGTCTATTTTATTTTGAAATACCTAGAAATGAAAGACTTGGATATTGAAGTATGGATTGCATATACAAATCTGAGATGAATGCAAAGTTTTCTCTCAATGATTTTGTGAACAATCTTTTTTTTGTGAATGTACAGAAGCCACAATTACATTAATTATTGTCAACACTCTTCTGTGAACTGTGGAAGTATATTAACAATGTTGTCTAGTGTCTTTACTGCCGTTATTATTTTGTTTGGTTTGAATTGGACATTAGCAGGTAAGAAGGTTTTTAAATAGTCTAGTTTGACAAAGGTTTGTTGTTCGGAGTCATAATGGTTTTTGTTTTTAATAAAAAGGAATCCCGTTTATTTATTTATTTTTATATGGAAGTATTATTTTCCACAAATATTTCAAATTACCATTCAAACTAATGACACTTATGTATGTTTTAGTAAAATGTTGATATTTGTTGATGTCGAATTTAGAATAATAACTAACTGACTCTGATTTATATTTCCAGTTAATATGTGTACAAACAGATCAACAGTATCAACATACGTTACATTGAATCTTATAAAAGGAACTGATGTCGATGGTTGTTACTGTACTGTTAAATTACATAATACATATACACCTGAATCTGTTAAATCAAGAATTATATTTGAAGTTATAAAGTTTTCTGGTTGTAAATATAAACTTGTTATTTCATATAATAGCAGTAGACCTAGATTTAGATGTTCTAACAACAATACTAGAATATTCTATCATATTAATAAAACAGAAGAAATTAAACTATATTTGGAGCTAGCTACTTCTTATCAGAATGATACAGAATTTGAAGTCAAAATAACGTCTAGTATGACTAGTAAGTAAGATGTTTCATGTTGATATTGATTGTCATCATATTTTGTCATAGTTCTTTCATGGTTTAAAGACATTTGGTTTTTCGATTAGGACCCCCCTCCCAAGATATCCTCTAATGTTACTGGTAAGAAAATTATCATTTTGTCTGTAATATGACAGATTTCTGTAGTGAGCAAACTAAACCTGGTAGAATTATTGTTGGATCATTGAAGATTGAACAGATGTGAATTATTGAAACATGAAAATCTTATAATTATGAATTTGTTACAAAAGAGAAAGATTAAACTACAATGACGTCCGTACAGTTTGTAGTTTTTATATATTTATTAGTAGAGTCGAGTAATAATTATTGAAGATATCAACATCATCATGTTCTAAAACATCCTTATAACAATATCACATTGTCCTTGATTGAATAGGTTGAGTTACAAATGTATTTATTATTTTTTGAAGGGAGGGATAAAACAAACTTTTCAATTGTTATCACAACCATTTAGTAGACTTTATTTCTGTAGCGTTAACCTTCAAGACAATAGCACACAATAGCACCACAAAATAAGCATAACTAGACTAATGGTTGATAACACAGTATTATGTATTATGAATTCAGCCGTTGGAGGTCCTTTGATAATATTGACATGTTTTACACCAAACGATACCCTTAAAACTACTACCAGTACACCAACCGTAATACACCAAACAACATCTACTGAGAGAACCACCACAATTATAACACCATACACAACATCTTCCAGAGAAATAATTTCAACTTAGGTTCACAGTTAAGGATCCTTTCTACCAGCCGGTCCTTGGCCAAGCCTCTTGACATTGAACCAACGCCCTAACCGACTGTGCTATAGGTAGTCCTTCTTTTTGAACTCCATTATTCACCTGTATTATATAAAATATAGAGGATCTTAAACGAGTGCTTAATTCTAATATGAAATTTTTGAACATAGTTGCCAGTTTAATATTACTATAACCTATATAAGCACCAGTGAAAGATTTTATTTATCACACAACTATCAATAAACGCATATTTTTTTTATTTCCGTACTCTTTGTTTATGGCCTTCGTTTTGAGATCCACTTTTCTGCAAAATGTCCTTAAGATCTGGATAGTTAGTCGTCAACTTTAAAGTTTGCCATGTTATTCTGTTTACATGGTGCATGAATACATAACCTTATTTGCATAAATATCAACCTGTGCTACGAATTCATATCGTTTTATGTACCTGTGTTGTGTAATAAATAATAAATACTTATACATACTGATCTATACATTCTATAATTATATTCAGTGATATTGTAATAGCGTTACACTACAGACAAGGAAGGGATTTAGTTTAATAAAACTTCACTTAGGCTTTTACTAAATATTGGTCTTGTCTTCGATAGTTATTATATAGAGATAGCGAAGTGAACAGTTGCATTGAACCTCACACCTTAGTCGAAGTATAAATAATAGGAATGACAATGATGTCTCGTATCTTGTTTATGTTTAGTCTAGGTATTCACTGGACTACGGCAGGTAAGATATATTTAAACTACAATAGACATTGTTTAGAATTAAGAATATAATTGTGCTGTTTGATATGACAATATCGCATTCTAAAGTAAAGTTATAGAAACTTACAGCAAAAAACTTCTGATAAAAAAATACATCATAGTTCCATTGATTTTGTGATTTGGAGGCCGAACTATATCTTTTGTTTTTATATTTCCAGTTAATATGTGTACAGACAGTTCAACAGTATCAACATACGTTACATTGAATCTTATAAAAGGAACTGATGATAGTGGTTGTTACTGTAGTATTAAACTATATAATATAGATACACCTGAATCTGTTAAATCAAGAATTATATTTGAAGTTATAAAGTTTTCTGGTTGTAGATACATACTTGATGTTTCATATAATAACAATAGTCCTAGTTTTAGTTGTTCTAACAACAACACTTATATATTCTTTAACATTAATAAAACAGATGAAATTAAACTATATTTGGAGCTTGCTACTTCCTATCAGAATGATACAGAATTTGAAGTGAAAATAACGTCTACTGTTACTAGTAGGTATTTAAATTATTAGGGCTGAGCTTTCATTGCTCAAAGAATGATACAGCAAAGTTTGAAGTCAACATAATATCTTATTTTACTAGTAAGATTATTAATTTTTAACGTCTGTAAATATGGTGTGTCGTGAGTAAACATATTCTGCATGAATTATTGTAAATATTTTTTATAAATAATTATCATTGTTATTTTTTTTCGCCATTTCCTCGTTTCATTAGCCCCACGCTTTGATTAACGGGAAGAACTGTATTGCATTGGTTTAATTTTAGTATTTACGATTCGAAAAGAAGTAATGATGACAGAATTTAGGTGCTCAACACAGTGAAATTGTGCTCAATACAGTGATGTTGGTTAAGTGTGATTCTTTAATACATAGTTGAATCATTCTCCGAGAAAGCAAGCTCAGAATTTTCAACTGTCATTATGACCTATTAGAAGGTTTAATTTCTATAATGGTAATAATAATACTATAACCGCATTAAACTAAATCATGATAACAGAGTATAAATCTTGTTTAGCCACTTTAGGTCCTTTACTCAGATTGACTTGTTTTACACCAAACGCCAATACCTATTCTACTACCAATACACAAACATCTAGTGAGCGAACCACCACAACAAAAGCTAATTCAACTTCCGATATAATTCCATCTAGTGAGAAAACTACCCCAACCTCAATCCCATCTACAGTGTCTTACAGCGAAGAAACTTCAATTCAAACTACCATTCCACTGTCAACAACTGGATTAACAGAAGATAATTCTTCGAATGCATTAACAAAAGAAGGTAAGTCTGATAAAGTCTATGTTTGTGTTAGAATTAGTATTGCGTTCATCACAATACCTAATCAACAGCAACCTGATTAATGCAGCTTCATGTTCACAATTATGTTCATCAACAACATCATGTTCACAATTATGTTCATCAACAACATCATGTTCACCATTATCCTCATCAAAGAAATCATGTTCACCATTATCCCCATCTAAGAAATCATGTTCACCATTATCCCCATCTAAGAAATCATGTTCACCATTATCATCACCAAAGAAATCATGTTCACCATTATCCTCATCAAAGAAATCATGTTCACCATTATTCTTATCAAAGAAATCATGGTCACCATTATCCTCATCAAAAAAATCATGATCACCATTATTTTTATCAACGGCATCATGTCTACCAGTTTTCTCTTCTACAACATCATGTTCACTATCATCCTCAGCAATAGCATCATGTTCTCCATTATCCTTATCAATAACATCATGTTCACCTCTATTCTCATCAGCATGCTCATGTCCATCGGTATCCTTACCATTACAATTTCTCACGCTTAACCTCATCAACAGCAATTTAACAATAATAACCTCAATGTACATCCTAAATAACGTTTCATCAAGCATCATAATTATATCATTATATTTTAGATTGTGATGATAATGATAGTGGTAATGATGGAATTATTGGTGGAGTAATCGGTGTGGTTATTGGTGGAGTGATAGTAGGTGTTTCAATCTTTATTATAAAACGGTAAGTCTTTGAGTATGTTATACATCTTACATTTTGAATGGCAAAGACGAAATACCGTATGTCTTTCGAGTAAAAGACTTTGTTATGTTTCTTATTTCTGAAATTAGTAAAGCGATGCCATTTTTTCCTTAATTTGGGTGCCAATAATCTACATAAACACATTAATTTCATATGTCTTTTCGTCAAATAATTGATTATTATTTTAAACTGTAGACGTAACAATAAAATATTTATTCTTACAGTATTGTGAAGAACAGAAAGAAAAAATCTACATCTGAAATCTACAGTTCAACTTCAACACAAAACCAACCAGAATCTCAATATACAGATTTACAATTGTCATAACAATACCTTATCAATATATATGATGTTGAGTTCTTAGCAAAATTGACAGAATGTCATAATCTTCAACCTTATTTAAATGAGTATTGTAAATAAATAATATTTTGTTATCATATAGTGATATTTAATTTAAACCCTCCAAAATGTATTACCCATATTTAACTGATCTCTGACCATCGTATCCCGATTATAGGTTTTTACATGAGCTGTTCATTTTTAAAAATTTGATGGCATAGCCGGGTCAACCTCATTTCTTGGGGATTTGCTTGTTTACTGCTTGAATATATATAAGGGTATTTTGCTAAATGTTTGGATTAGATTAAAAAAGGTAAGATTATAGTATTTCAAAATACAGATTTACAATTGTCATAATATTGACAATACCTTATCACTATCTGATGTGGAGTTCAAAGCAAAAAGTGACTCATAACCATCAAACTTATGTTAGTGAAATAAACCAACTCAACTTCACAAATAATCATAACTTGTTATTGTATGAAGTGAAGTGATACCCAATTTAATCACACCACAATTTATAATCAGTATGAAACAGATCTGTGACATCGGTAGCATTAATCACGTTTAATTGATGCTAAAAATGTTGGCTGAATCTGATTAAAGTTTACTAATTCGTTTTGATTTTGGTCGTTCTAGTTTTACTCGGATCAGTGACGTTTCTAAGAATTATTAGGTGGAGGTACTGAATATGAACCACAGAATATTACCATTGTCAGATGGACAAACAGTCTAATTAAAATTAGCTTACAAATTTGATTCCCTTTTGTTTTCTGATATTTTAGTCTACATTGTAATCTAAAAAGTTTTATACCAAAGGCTGGTCCCATATGTAGTATTTTTAACTATTCAAAGCTTGTTATTTCTTGACAAAATAAGGAATCGTAGGAAATCGAAACCCAAAAAGCCTGCCATACTACATTGATTTAATGTAATCTAATTTCAATTATATTGGGAGGGAGCAAACAGCAGCAGGCATTTAATACATTTATGATTGCAAAGCCGGGCCAACCTCATTTCTTAGGGGAAAATGAAAGTGTTTATATAAAGCCTGGCGTGTGCCTTGTCTAATTTATTCATGTTCATGATCTGAAGAAAAATCAAATGAAATATTATATTGTATAAAGACATTGTAGTTAACGTAGTCTCTGACGCTCAGACTTCTTCTATCTTCGACAAGGATATTATAGTCTTGGACTTATAGACAAATTTAGTTCATCAAGTGAGATAGCTACATTTAGTCTATTTAGATCTGCAAGTCTTAAATCACCATGTTTACAACAAAAACCCCTACAAGTTTTTATATTTGATATTTTCATCCGCGGATTGAATTCGTCTTTTTCTCGAACAAAGAAATAAAATCTATAGAAATCGTAATTATCACTGAATTATTTTTTAATTAATGTTGACACAAATCAAGAACGTCTAGTTTTTTTTATATTTCCTTATTTCTGAATTTACATACCATTATTATAGACGTAACAACAAAAATTTTATTCTTACAGTATTGTGAAATACAGAAAGAAAAAATCTACATCTGAAATCTACAGTTCAACTTCAACACAAAACCAACCAGAATCTCAATATACAGATTTACAATTGTCATAACATTAACAACAAGTTCAAAGCAAAATGGGATGTTACCTGATAAAATCATCAAACTCGTGGACTCTGTTCTGTATTGAGTTATTGCGGTCTGAATTTAGTCAGTTGAAAAGGGAGATAATGTTAACTCTCCTGTTCTTAGAGATAAGAATGTAGTAGAATACTATAATGTTCTTTGTGAAAATTTGATATTTTATGTTGTGTAGAGTAAGGCAAAGTCCTGATTTTAATAAACAACGAGTGTCTTATTTAAAACAATCTACAGACTCATCTAACTCATCTCAACAAATCATCATAACTTGTTATTGTATGAAGTGAAGTGATACCTACTTTAATCACACCACAATTTATAATCAGTATGAAACAGATCTGTGACATCGGTAGCATTAATCACATTTAATTGATGCTAAAATGTTTGCTGAATCTGATAAAGGTTTACTAATTCTTTTTAATTTTGGCTGCAGCAGGCATTTAAGAATTTTATGATGGCAAAGCCGGGCCAACCTCGTTTCTTGGGATAAATGGAAGTGTTTATAAGAAAGCCTGGCGTGTGTCTGTGTAACAAAATGTCTCTTATTGTATACTCTATATATATAATCTATTTCGATCGTGTGTAAATATTTCGGGTTATCATGATTTGTCTCATGTGATCATGTTCTGAAGAAAAATCAAATGAAATATTATATAGTATTAAGACATGACACATTGTAGTTAACCTAGTCTCTGACGCTCAGACTTCCTCTACCTTCGATATAGTCTGGGACCTATAGGGGAAATTTATGTTACGACCCGTTCACGTTCATCAAGTGAGATAGCTACATTTAGTCTATTTAGATCTACAAGTCTTCATTCACCATGTTTACAACAGAAACAAGATGGCAACCTCCACAAGTTTTTATATTTGAAATTTGTCATTTTCTCGATCAAAGAAATAAAATCTGAAGAAATTAATGTTGCCTCAAATCACGAACGGATGTTGATTTACTACCTATCAGATTCATTAGCCACTGTAGACTTGGTCGATTACAAGGAGTTTATGCAACAGTTCCAGGCCATCTTTCGTCGGAGTTGTACATAGACAAAAAGGGATTGAGTGACAGAGGCTATAGATAGGGGTTGCAAAATGAGGTGTGTCTATCTCCAAGGCGAGGCCGGGGGACTGGAAGCAAACGAATTGAAGATGGCCTGAGATGAATTTTGAGCATTTGGGGGGCTTTATTTTCACTTTAAAATGAGATCTTTCACAGGCCCGAGGGAAGGGCTATGACCCAATCCCTAAATACTCGTGAGAAATGATCTCTTCTGGGGTAATTTTCTCAAATGTCGGCTAATGCATGTGTCAGTGATAGTATAGGGTCGACTGATTTGAAGATTTTCTATTCATAAACCGGGAAGTTTACAACTAGTGTTTAAAAACATATAATATGATATAACATATACTGCATACACTTGGAGTCATCCATCCGCTGAAACATTTTGGTTTGGTATTAAATGATTTGTTCAAACTCAGTGATTTCAATTTTGAGTTTTCTATTTTATTATACTTGCTATAGTCTATGCAAAGTAGGTACATCGATATAGTAGTCCAGTGTGATCAATTATTGTGGAAAATATACCATGACAGGATTCCATGTGACAATTGAATATTGAGTTGTTTTTAATAGTGAACTTTGAAATAAAGACCAGGAGTCGGCTACAGCTATAATCAATAAATAAGTAATCGTGGATGTGATGTTTCTTATTATGAAAATGTTTGTAAAGAAAGAAATGTGGTTCAATATTTTATTTTGGTTTGTTCTTCATGGACTGATTCACCAATCAACTGCAGGTAAGACTTATTGATGGCAATGGCGCTGATAAAAATAACTGTACCCTAATTAACTAACATATCATGAGTATATACCTGAAAAGCCTTACTCGTCGGACTAATTCTATTCAGATCAAAAAACTTACTGAATCTAGTAGTTATTTTAGTTATATTGTTGTGCTTACAATGTGAAGACATTTAATAGTGGAAAATATTCCAAGAACATAAGACTTTGTGACAAATGAAAAAGTGAATTGTGCAAATGAATAATCTGCACTCAATAAAAAATTCTTGATTGGTCTTTCAACATACAGAAAACTATAACGTTATGAATCTGTTACAATCTTTATTTTTAGGAAACCCATGCCTTATTTGATTCTTGTCATTCCCTTTATACTCAATATTCAAAATTCAACAATTATATAAATGAATTGTTTCCATCATTATTTTTCAGTTTATTTTTGTACAAACAGTTCAACAGTATCAACAGACGTTACACTGAATCTTATAAAAGGAACTGATGATAGTGGTTGTTACTGTACTGTCAAATTACATAATACAGATACTATTGGATCTGTTAAACCAAGAATTCTATTTGAAGTTATAAAGTTTTCTGGTTGTAAATATAGACTTGTTATTTCATATCATAACAATAGTCTTAGTTTAAGTTGTTCTCATACTGACCCTTTTGACCATATCATAAATAAAACAGAAGAAATTAAACTATATTTGAAGCCAGCTACTTCTTATCAGAATGATACAGAATTTGAGTTGAAAATAACGTCTAATGTAACTGGTAAGAATGAATAATTATTTTTTCCTCTGCAATCCAATTTGAAAGAACTTTTCTTGAAATAGTTAAAAAAATATAATAAATCAAACGGGATAGTCCTAAATTTAAAGAATTGTACAAATCAAAAGCACAGTAAACTACATATGCATTTATACATCTAATGCGGTCGCTCATTGGAATTCTGGTGGTAATATTCTCTTCTAATTTAGCTAATTATGAATTAATTATGGACATGTGATATTAGTCATTAGAACAACTCTACCTTCTCTTCATATAAGTATAAGGAAAATCTTGAAATAGTAAAAAAATAGAATAAATCAAATGGGACAGTATAGAATTTAAAGAATTGCACAAAACAAAAGCACAGTAAACTATGTGTATTTATACAACTAATGCTGGAGTGTAAAAGTATTGCATCGTACAACAACGGGATGAAACTCTATATAAGTATATTGTTATTACCCAGTACTCTGAGATTAGTTTTATTTCAAATTTTCATATCTTTCGACTAGTTGAGTAATTATGCTCGAGAAATCCCAATTGTATTCATGTAACATATAAAATCATGTTCCCAAGTATCCTTTAAATCAACATCATGTTCTCTTTCATTCTCAATAACGATAGTCGCTTGAGTTTTTTAATTATCATTTTGTTAAGATGAAAAAGGAAGCGAGTAGTGATAAAACCACACAGATTTATCAGTTGTAATAATGATTCATTTTAAACTGTTTTTCTGTCTCACAACATATTGAGCTTAACACGATTTAATAGTTGATAACGCTATATATATATTACGAACATATTCCAGCTGTTGGAGGTCCTTTACTAAGATTGGAATGCTTTTTACCAGACAACAATCTAGATACTACAACCACAACTATATTACCATACACAGCATCTTCCAGAGAAATAATTTCAACTTCTGTTCCATTGTCATCTACCAGTTCAACAGAGGACATGATAAATTCATCAACTAGACAAGGTTAGGGAAATCTGGTTTCAGTTCTTCTGTTCTTGATACTCGTATCGTTATCCTCCTCAACAACATCATGTTAACAATCCTAATCAACAATATAATATTCACCATTATCCTCATCAACAAGATCATTTTCACCATTATTCTAATCAACAAGATCTAGATGATTTTTATCCTTATCTTGTTCAACATTATCATTATCTACAATATATATTGTTCACCTTCATCTTAATCAACAACAGCATGTTCACCATTATCCTAATCAAGAACATCATGTTCACCACTCCTAATCAACAAGATCATGTTCATCAGTATCCTTATCAACAAGATCATGTTCACCAGTATCCTGTTCGACAAGGTCATGCTTACCATTATCTTTATCTACAATCTAATATTCACCATTATCCTTATCTACATCATGTTCACCATTATCCTTATCTACAACAACACAATCATGTTCACCATTACCTTTTTAATCAGCAACATCATATTCACCATTATCCATATCTACAAGACCCTTATCAACAACATCACGTTTACCTTTATCCCCATCAAGAATTATCATCACCATAACAATTATTCTCTATTAACCTCATCATTGTGATCATTATGTTGTAGAAGATGATGATGGTGGTGTGGTTACTGCTGGAATTATTGGTGGAGTAATAGGTGGTGTTATTGGTGGAGTGGTAGTAGGTGTTTTAATCTTTATAATAATATGGTAAGTCTATTATTTAAATGATATACATAGAATATCGTATGTATTGGGTATTGGATCAAGTTCTCGTTTTGGTCCCTATTTCTGAAATTAGTAAAGTCGGTATGTTATAAAACTACAAACAAATCCGTCTTCATTAGCCTGCATGGTGCAAAAAAGTAGGACGTAAAACTCCATTCATTTCATTTCATTTATAAAATTTTCATACAACTTAAGCACAGTAATTTCATATGCTATTTAAAATCTAAATGTAACTATAAAATATTTGTTCTTACAGTGTAATGCAGAATAGAAAGAAACAGACTGCATCTGAAATCTACAGTTCAACTTCAACACAAAACCAACCAGAATCTCAATATACAGATTTACAATTGTCAAACATTAATAATACCTTATAGCCATCTGATGTCGAGTTAAAAGCAAAAAGTGTCTGTAACATATTTTGTTATCATATAGGTAGTCAAGTGATATTTAAAGTATTCCCACCACTATGTTCTACCTGTATTTAACCGATCTCTTGTGTGAGTGTCTGCTTTTCGTTAGATTAATTGCCTTTACAGTATCATAATAACAGCGTTTCAATCTGATTTGAAAGTAAGCACATGTAGGCATTTTCTTACAAGGGCAGATAACCACTACCACAGGAAGTACTTATACAGGAAGTATAGTCCACGGGCATTAGTTAAAACTAAGCCATAGTTAACCCAAAGGCATAAGTAGTGTTCACTTTGGACCTACAACAATTAGGGTACAGGCCTGTCTTTACGCTTCGATTTTTTTTTTATTTAATTAAGTCGCATAAATATTTGATCTAGCAATGATGTTATCAGTTAAAGAATGGAATTCATAGATATTCATTCGGCAGTTTTAATAATATTTTATTTTATATCTGCATTAAGAAATTACCCCCCTTTTTTAATCTGTTAATCAGTAAATTTCCAACCAATATTAATTTGCTTCTTTATATCGTTTTCTCGTCTTTAATTTGACCGAAAATAAAATATCTTTATTCTTAGATTAATCAGATCGCTTATATTAGTATATTATATTTACTAACTTAAATAAAACTATGAAAGATGAAACCAGTGTTGTAATACATATGGGGCGAGTTAAAAATTCTGCTAAGCCTGCGCAATGAACCGACAATGTCATTTTCGGTGCAAAACAAGAGGTTTATGTTTTCGTTAGCTTGGTAGGTTCGACATGATGGAAGGTGACGAATTATTATAATACGTAAACGTAATTACCAAGCACCTGGCTTCAAGGAAAACTGTCTGCAATCTTTTTTTTATGACTTCTTTTCGTCAAGTTGGTCGATCAAACCTTCTTCCCTTTGATAAGGTTGGTTTGCTTTACTTGTACGTATATATGAATCAAATATTGAATTTTTTTACTCTATACAAATAATGAAATTTTATTTCAATCGTGTTTAAAATTTAAGATCTTGATAACAACATGTTTAAAGAGATCATGTAATTTGATATATTATGAATCTTTATTATATTATAGTGCATTCAAATCTAACACAGTCTGTACCTGTCAAATAGTTCATTTTAGACACAAATAGTGGACAAATACACATGATCCAATTATTGTAATTTTGAATGGGCATCATGTACATATTAAAGTGCGACTCCTTTATAAAAGTATTACGGACACTAGTGAGCAAATTAATATTAAAATGAAATTAATGGAGTGTCATGTCATTCTTTTCTGTAGTTTATGGGCTAATGAAAACGGACAATGCCATGTATTGTGCAATGAGGGAAATTTTTCCTACTGTGGAGGAATTTACTTTTAAATGATCTCTTCACGGATAAGTGAATTCAATCATTATGTATGGGTGTATGTTTGCCTAAGTATTTATAAAACGTCGGATGATTTGAAGATGTTCTATTCATAAACAAGGAAGTTTTAAACTAGTCTTTTGTTTGAACATGTAATATGAATACTTCTTATTATTAAAGCATAATTTTAAAGTAGAGTACAGTACAGTCTAGTGTCCACAATATTATGGCGCAAGATACCATGTAAGATTTTGATAAGTACGTTCTCTCAATGCGAATTGAGTACTGAGTTTTCCTTTCCGTACGGGTGTTTTTACATTCAAGAACAGTGTGACCTGTTAAAATCAGCAAAAAGTACAGCTAATAACTATTAATAAGTAATCGTGGATGTGATGTTTCACCATTATAAAGATGTTTGAAAAGAAAGAAATGTGGTTCAATATTTTGCTTTTGTTTGTTCTTCATGGACAGATTCACCAATCAACAGCAGGTAAGAATTATTGATGGAGCCGATATATAGAAAATATCTACCCTTATTGATGTAAAATATTATCCTGAATTCTTATAATTTAAATATCATCTTAATTCGTTTATGATGTCGAAGAAATTCATCATGAACGACTGTCGATTGAAAAGGATGTAATGAATAACTTCCGCTTGAACACCTGGTAAAATTATTTGACTATGCTATTCAATTAACATGTTTTATTATTGTATTATTGAATAAATTACTGTGTTTGTTGGTGATTACCAGGTGACTTTATTCAATCAGTAACTTTCCTAGTGGCAATTCCACTGTTATTAGTACCAAAGGATTGTGTAGTCTAATCGTAATAATAGTATAATATCTAATATATAATAAGAAAGGGAATGTGAAGACATTTTATTAAGTTAATTAGATTAATTAATAATCTCTTGGTTTGTCCTTTCCACATACAGAAAAATATAACATAATTCCATATTTTAAGAAAACCTACACCTTATTAGTTTCTTGTCATTCTCTTTTGACTTGACTTGATTTTAAAAACAAAATTATTTCCATCATTATTTTTCAGTTAATATGTGTACCAATGCATCAACAGTATCACTAAGCGTAACATTGAATCTTATAAAAGGAACTGATGATAATGGTTGTTACTGTACTGTTAAACTACATTATTCAGATACACCTGAATCTGTTAAATCAAGAATTATATTTGAAGTTGTAAAGTTTTCTGGTTGTAAATATAGTCTTGATGTTTTATATAATAACAGCAGTCTTAAGTTTATGTGCTCTCATACTTGCCCTTTTGAACATACTATATATAAAACAGATGAAATTAAACTATATTTGGAGCCAGCTACTTCCTATAAGAATGATACAACATTTGAAGTGAAAATAACATCTACTGTAACTAGTAAGTATTTGTTTCCATTGCATCAGCATTCTGGTTTGTATTTTCGCATTCACTAGTAGTTGAACTGGTATCGAGAATAGTTATAAATTCATGTAAGTGGAGAATTGAAAGAAAGAACTATCAAAAATATCAAAATTTACTCACAATCAAAAAGGGCTATATTTTGATATCAGTTTAATTAAAATTATACCAAATTTTTATACCATATTTCTAATATAACCCTTTTCTGTAAGGATCTAACGACAGCCCTCTTGAACGTTCGCCAAATTGACCTTTTGACCCAATAATCACAGCGTCACCAAAATGTCATCTAGGTAGGTCTAAAAGTTTATTTGACGAACATTCAAGAGGGCTGGCGTTAGACCTAACTTAAGTGAATAAAAGTTAATAAAAACAGAACGAAAGTTTGGTCTAATTCTAATAAGACTGGTTTTTAAATTCAACTGTGTTAACTTATTTTTATGTTACTGATTATTGTACACAACATAGATCATAGACACTCGAGATTGTGTTGCGTCAACCCCACAGAAATAGAAAAAATAACGAGCATCTACATCTGTTTGTATTGTGAGAACGCTTTTCTAATACAAAGAAAAACTATTGCAAGATGATGATTATAAAATATATTTCTAGCCGTCGGTGGTCCCTTCATAAGACTTGAATGTTTTCAACCGAACAGCACTACAAATACAACTGAAACAACTGATACACAACAACCAACAGTGGGGGTGATCTCAACAACCATGGACTCCACTGAAAAATTTGGTGCGTCGAAACAAAGTCATAAATATTTAGGTGAGAACCATAATTACAAACCATGTCGACATTAGCCTGTGCATGGTAACCAGCTACAGGATGGAGGAGCGGGAGGGAGCTTTGTCGAAAAAATGGATTACCCTCCTCCCCAACCCCCAAAAATTCTGATTACCGACCATATCCATTACCACAGGTAAACATCATACACCGTTGCCTGTCCGGATATATTACTTGCCCCTCTTAACAAGCCTGACTGTGACTACAGGCCTGATGGTTACAATTATTATAATATCTTACCATCAGTATTGGGTATATCGATAACCAAAATATGATTATTATTATTATTACATGATGGGCACTAGTTGACTCGCCATTACGAGTATCTTACTGATACAGATAATGACGAGTCAACCAAGGTTTATTATGTATAAATGGTCCTATGATAAATAATACGGTGAAACATAACATGACACATCATTATCGTCATCATGTGGTTTATAAGGTCAGCATCTGACGATATACCATTAAAAATGGAGTATTAGAAACAAAACGTCAAATAGTCACTGTTAACCCCATCAATGTCGTTATCGTAAGAGTTGATGCTTTTTATCTTTTCTTTTCTATATATTCATGTTGCAATACTGTTTATTCCAGATATAAGTATAATAGGTGGTGCTGTAGGAGGAGTTGTATTACTGGTGATAGTGGTTATTATAATCTTAGTCTGGTATATATAACATTTTACTGAATTCCTAGCTATAATTTGCTTTCCAATGAATTAAAACATCCTTTACCCCTTGCCTTTCCTACATATTGTTATTTACTCATACTGAAATGAATATGGGGTATTATTAAGCAAGAAGGAATTCCCCCAACCTAGACCTACACTGCTGGGAAAATTGGAAGGTCTTACCAGTGCCTAATATGCATTTGAAATAACGAGGTATAACCAGTGTATAGAATCCATTCAAAGTTGGAAAATCTTACAAGTGCCTTAATTCCATTTGAAAATCGGAAGGTTTAACTTGTGTCTTACTCCATTTCAAACTCGGAAGGTCAAACCATCGTGTTGACTCCAAATTTGAAGGTCTAACCCATGTTCAAATTTTATTTGAAACTAGAAGCTCTGATAGTGTTCTCGATTTGTTGTATTAGGGATTGTTATTCAAATTTTTCTTCTCAGAAGTATACTATCTACTGCAATTAAACCATATTAGAACAGATACCAAACCGAGAAAGGAGATTATATTTAATCCACCAATCTTTATTCATCGTTTAATTTTAGTATGTGGCGTAAGAAGAAGACAGGAAGAAAGAATTATGACAGACCTTTGAATCGAGAAATGGATCACAGTTATACTAATGTTGACATTGTTCGACAAGACCAGGGCAATAACTCGTTTCAGGAAGATGCTGCTACTGTTAACAATGGGGTGCACTCTAATAACAACTCCTTATCGCCGCAGCTGACTGACAATACCAAACAAAATGTCCATGTTGCAGAGAAAATGGAAATCATACAGAACGATCTTTACGTTAGTTCAGATGACATCATGGACTCGATATCACGTGATGAAGATGACACCAATCAGAAACCAGATACTGAATACGCTGTTGTCAAAAAGGACCGTAAACCTACGAATACGATGTTTAAAGATGGTGGCGACTCAAATTCATCAATTGAGTCCAATAGTGACCGTAGGTTTGTTATTGGCCCTCAAGGTGATGAATATGCAATAGTGAATAGAAAATAATTTATAATATATCAGCAATAGTAACATTTAACTTAATGCTTCATTGTCATACATGCCTATGCTTATTTCATTTTCTATAAATGTATTAAAATTTTTAACACACTGCTCCAAGTTAATTAAGTATAGACTTAGTCTGAGAAACTCGTGTAGGGGTATACAGGGGAATTGCAGAATATCCGGAAATGTCTTGATTGACTCATTAAAGGTTCATCTTTATATAGATAACCACGTACTAACGATCCGAACAGCAAAACGAAACCCGTAACAAAATTTTGACGAAATATTGGTAAAGGCTAATGAACTTTTCACACGAGGATGTATATCAGTCATAAGTGAGTAAGTAGTTCATAATGAAAAGTGGTATCAGGTGTCTAGAAGAGTAAGCCTACGAAAAATTATACCTTATTTGGCTTTTGTTATGCTGAAAATTCCTCCAAATTAGCGAACCAATAATGGATTGGAGTCAAAATTAAACAGTACATAAACTGTACTAACTGTTCAGTAAAGCGCCATGCAATAAGATGATGTATATACCATTTCCTTACTCTTAGAATGCAGCCAATCTTGGTTGGTATTTTGCACACCAGTGCATAACGCAGCTCCGACCAATCGAGTGCAGCAGGGTTTAATTTAGATTGAAAAATGTGATTACTAATTTATCACACCAAATTTAAGTTTTTGCTAAACAAGTTCAATTTTAATTCACATTTCATAAAAAGGTTCCAGTCGTTAACTTCAGAGAGATCTTGTCAAAGAATTAGTTCCTCACGAAAAAATGTACAATTTGATTTGATTAGCAGATCGTAATGAAAAATTGTAATTTTGACCAATCATAGGAAATATTGGATCGCAAAAAGGAAATGAAATAAATGGAGTTCTACGTCCTACTTTTCTGCTCCATGTGAGCTAATGAAGACGGACAACGCCATGCAGGATGCAATGAGATACATTTTGACAGGACAGCGGCATTAGCCTGCACTTTTTTATTTCCAACTGTCGAGGGGTCATAAACATGCGCAGCCTTGCACGGTTTATTGTCCCATCCGAACGACTAGACGCTTTGTCCATGTCACGCCCTCTTATCTGCATCACTGACAGGGGGAAACCGGGTTGAAATATCCGAGGGTATTCTCGACCTATATCGGGTTTGAACCTTCAGGTTAGCAAGCAAGCGTGTAACTCAATGAGCCACCGCGACTCAAGGGTCACAAAAGGGGTCACTTTGACTTTCGATACCAATTAAATTGAACCATTGATATGTGGTTAAGGTAAATTTGAAGTCAGCGTGTCTTTATTGTATGAGGTTAAAAATTTCTATATGTTTGTATGTTGCCTAGTCTTTTCTTTATCTAAACCGGGAAGTATATCAACAACTTTGTATGAATTATATAGACTGACTTCTCCATACAAAAATCATGCAAAATATCAAACGATTATATATCAATACAGTTAATCTGAGATATTTTGGCATGAAAAGTCATAACGTTTCATTTGACTGGTTAATGTCTATTTTGCCTTTGCCATGTCATCTATTGCCATTATCCTGTCATATGTGGAGGACATATTTTAGTGATTTATTTATTATTGTGCATCGTACCACATTCATTATTTGTAGATACAGTGATGTATCCATCGAGTTCAAACTGAGGGAGTTTGCTTGCAGGTATCTGCAAAAACCCAAGAGGAAATAGCAGATTTTCTAAGGTGATGGGATTCTAAGACTTGTAAAGAATGTGCACTATGAATTAAGAGAAATCGATCAAGATTTTCGGATGCCTTATTACAGTGGATACGAAGTAAAGTGGTTTTAACACTTTTTAGACAACAAAATGTGGTGTAATATTTTGCTACTGTTTACCTTTGGTAATATTATTATTCAGACAAATGCAGGTAAGAGTTTACATATTAAATCTTAGGTTGTCGACGGTCTTATTTAATAGTCGTTTTTCAGTTGTGGAAAACTCATTATGGAAAAGTGATCCTGAAACTGAAATTGAATTCTATCAAATGTTGAAGCAAATATCTAGGCGACAATCTTCCTTTGATTTTATAGATATATTCCTATTGAATCACTTGCATAAATAAACCATGTACTAAAGATCCGAACCACACAACGAAACCCGAAATCTAACAACATTTTGGCGAAACATTTGAAGCAGCTTATGAACTTTTACTTTTGAAAACAGAAAACAGAAAAGAAAATGAATTATTATTGACTTACTACAATAGACAGTTAGAAACAACACTTTCACATTTGCTTTTTCTAATTAACTCATCTAATCATGTAATTTCTTTATACTTTCAGTTAATATGTGTACCAATGCATCAACAGTATCACTAAGCGTAACATTGAATCTTATAAAAGGAACTGTTGACAATGGTTGTAACTGTAGTGTAAACTTTCAACATACAGATAAAATAAAAGGATCTTTTAAATCAAGAATTACATTTGAAGTTATAAAGTTTTCTGGTTGTAAATATAGTCTTGTTATTCCATATAATAAAACAGAATCTAAAGCTAGTTGTTTTAACAACAGTACAATTTTTCATGATATAAATAAAACAGATGAAATAAAATTATATTTGGAGCCAATGTCTACTTATCGGAATGATACAGAATTTGAAGTAAACATAACGTCTAATGTAACTGGTAAGTAAGACATTTCGTGTATTATTCAATTGTCAGCATATTTTGCTACAGTTTGTTCGTGGTGTAAAAGAAATTTCTTTTGTCATAAAATAAATATTTCCGATATTTTGATATCAGTACATAAAGTGTAAGCTTAATTCATGTAACTGAAGGTAAACCATTTCCCTGTAATACGCAAATTTTGGATAAAAATAAATAACTTTTGGTTAACTTTGCAAGAATCCTATAACTCTCAATGGCATGAATTATGTATCGAAACCTACTCAAAACATTGCTTAAATCCAGTATAACAAATCAACTTCATTATCTCAAATATTTCTAGGAAATATAAAACAAGAACAAATGTGCATATATTTGATCTCGCTGGGACATTGGGTGTATTTATTGGACTTAATATAGGTATACCTTGTATTTGTTAGTATACGATACAAATCAATGAGTACTTCAACGGGGATTGTAGATAGGGGTACCTGAGATGTGTCCTGGGGAATTTGTAAAATATCAGTGGTTTATAATGTTCAATATGAGATGACGATATGTGTCGACTGTGCAAACATCGCATGGTTTTTAAATTTAGGCTTCCGATTAGCTTACAATAACTGCACAGCTGATCTAATGTCAGGCAAAAGGATACAAAGGTTACAGAAAGATATTGAGGGCTAGGAATTTGTATAAGTGTGTGAATTATAAATATTTTATAAATCTTGTCTTAATTATCTAAACAAAAGTAATAAATTTGACTTAAGAATTTCATACTATTTACACTGAATTTTCCTATATATATCAATATTTCCTTTTGCAGCTGTCGGAGGTCCATTGATCAGATTATCATGTTTTCCGCCAAATTCAACCATGTCAACCTCTGAATCACCATCAACCACAGCAAACAAAACTTCAACACCATTTTCGATGGAAACAACCAATAACACCACAATCTCTGTCATACCAACAAACCTAACAACATCTTCACTAAACTCAAAACCAGATCGAACAACAGATAGGTCCTCATCCGTATCGACAAACGCACAAAGTACTAACGCCTCAATAACGCCAGTATCACCAGTTGAATCAACGCCAAACACCAAAGACTCGAGGAAAAGCAATGATGAGATGAAACGCGAAGACGAACACGAAGCTCTTGGTAATAATGAAATTGCTTTGGAAAACACGCTCATTGAGTGATCTTGTGATTGGCTGTTAAAGTAAACAAAACTGTCTACAGTAGCTGATGAACCTTCGAAAAGTAGTATCATGATAATGTCATGCGCATAACATAACAACACGGACGCATAGGCCTTAAGTCGTAATTTTGAGGTCGCCTATATATGATCGCTAAGATTGAAATATAATAGTCACGATATCAATGTATAAATCGTTATTACCCCGATATTGATGATATATGTATGTTCTATCCTCAGATATTGGTGTAATAGGTGGTGTGGTCGGAGGTGTTCTAATACTGGTCATATTGATCATTGTTATAGTTGTCTGGTACGTACAACGTTTATTTATTTCTGTTCTATTGAAACATGTACATATAAGTAAAGAAAGCTCTGGAATAGATACATAGCTCATTGGTTCTCCGTTTGTGCAAAATTTAGGGCATATTGCAATGGATTGCAAGGTAAATCAGAATCGTAGAAATATAATATCAAACTGATCTTATTATACCGACTCTGACGTCTACAGTTTGAACGAAATCGGTAAGGAAGCTTTTTTTTAAACAATATTTATTCATAGATTACAAATTATACGTTACATATATATATATATATATAAGCAATGGTTTCAGAAACAAGCCGAAGTTTATATTAATCCGGTACCATTTAATACAGTTTTCGAATCTATAATTACAAGTTATAGGTTAGTGTTGTAAGAAAGCCTTTTTGGCATTGAAATGCCACATTTGAGTCATTTGACAGATTAAACATCACTTAAGGTAGTAATGACCTCGTTTGATTAGTTCCACCACAAATCCAAGTAATAACAGAACTGGAATAAGGCATTCCATGAACTCATTTGAACTCAGAGTAATAATTGTGGGTGAAACATCCTTCAGGTGTGTCAACTTTAAATTTGTCGGCTCTCGATAAAAATAATTACAGTATCTAACTCATGCTACCAACCTCTTCGAAACAAAAACTACTTGTGACTGTATTTTTATCTATAATTTGAGGTATAAATGGTAAAGTAAGGTGTTCTGGTTGAGTGTTGTTAATGGTTTCTTGCATTTCAGCATTGTAAGACGCAAGAGGAAGCAAAATGACGATAAAAAAGATTATAATAGACCCACGGCTAGAGGAGTAGATAGTGATTACGCATATATAAACAACGGTAATAACTCGTCCCAAGACGGTGTTAACATTGAAAATGAACAAAACCTTCGTGCAGAGCAAACTGCCAGTAGCCAAATGACTGACCACGGTCCAATTCAAATGGAAATTATAGATAATGAACTATATGTGAGTTCTGATGACTTTGCGGATTTAAAATCACGTGATGATAATATCACCAATCAGAATCCAGAAATTTCAAATAGTTTAGGTGAAATGGTGATAACAGAGAATGACCTTTATGTGAGTTCTGATGACCTTGACCACAGTCCAATTCAAATGGAAATTATAGATAATGAACTTTACGTGAGTTCTGATGACTTTGAGGATTTAAATTCACGTGATGATAATATCACCAATCAGAATCCAGAAATTTTAAATGGTCATGTTGAAATGGAGGTTACTGAGAATATGAGATCTGTCGACAGCTTGAATTCACCATCAAATAATGACAATGCTCCCATATATGCAGTTATTAATAAAAAGCCAAAGCGGCCAAAATCTGATTCAAAGGGTACTTCTAACGATATTCCTAACAATGATCAAGATACGTTGTTATAACTAAATTCAGATAGTTATCATAACCAAATTCAGTTACATGTATGTTGTTATAACCAAATTCAGTTACGTTGCTTTACCCAAATTCAATTACGTTGCTTTAACCAAATTCAGTTACGTTGCTTTAACCAAATTCAGTTATGTTGTTTTAACCAAATTCACTTATGTTGTTTTAACCAAACTAAGTCTATTGTTATAACGAAATTCATTTTATTGTTAAAACCAAATTTAGTTTATTGTTAAAACCAAATTTAGTTTATTGTTATAACCAAATTCAGTTATGTTGTTTTAACCAAATTCAGTTATGTTATTTTAACCAAACTAAGTCTATTGTTATAACGAATTTCATTTTACTGTTAAAACCAAATTTAGTTTATTGTTATAACCAAATTCACTTATGTTGTTTTAACCAAATTCACTTATGTTGTTTTAACCAAATTTAGATTATTGTTATAACCAATTTAAGTTTTGGTGAACTAATTTTGATTCATATTAACTAAATGATTTACTTTGTTATAAAACTATGCAAGTAACATTGCTACAAATGTATCTCACAAAATCACAAACTTGAATTAAGACAATTAATGATTAATATTTTACTTGCTTAGAATGTATAAACGTGGTTTCTCCGACTAAAGTCTTATTTTAGGGTTAATGGCTACCTAATAACCTAAAAATGTCAATTTGTTACCATTTTTTATTATTTATTCTTGGACACAATTTCTTCATTCTGTCTTTGTTTGTTATTTTTTGTTGCTTATTCGATTTTTTTTCGAACTTTATCTGAATTTGAATATCGATTTTAAATAAATTGCAGTACGACATGAAAGAAAACAATCCCGTTCATATAGTCGAAAATCACTTATTTAAAAGGTTTTTTAATTTCTGATTTCGTGTTTTTTTTTTAGAATCTACATTTTATATGATGCGGTTTTGCATTGATATATCTAAACTAATCTAAACTATCGTTAAATATATTATCTGAATATATATTATCTGAATATATATTATCTTATATATTATCTGAATATATATTATCTGAATATATATTACTGAAGTATTAACATTGAAGTTAAATCCGCAGATAGTTATTCAGTAAATGTTCTTTAATATTATTTTACAAACATAATATAATGCAATATGGTTATTATATAGTTTGAAATAGCTTATAGTGAATATAAAGATTGAGTAATAGATATATCCCATTTCTTTTATAATAGTAGTAAAGCCTGTGATTTGTACAATCAATATATACCTATTATTTATGAAGTACACATGTACACACTGTTGTGGATTGTTAAGAATTGGCTTGTAGTTAGTAGAATACCAGATAGAAAAATACTGATAAATTATTTGCTTAAATTTTATACTTTCACCTTTATAATAAATATCAAAAGCAAATTGATTGTCATTGTTTTTTTACATACGAATTATGATTTGTTTAAAATACAGGTTTTTATTTCCATCGCGTATTTTGGTCAAAGGGTACCTCTTTTATTGGCGATTGTATGAGACACAATGGCTTCATCAGCTGTAGTTGCTGTCAAGGCACGCGATACTCGATTCATCTCATATAAAAAACATCTAATTTTTTGCAAAACATATCTTTACAATTTACTCGTATTTATTTTGAATGAATGGTTTGGCTTTGAGCCAAGTTGGTTTCTGATGGCAAATCGTGCGTGTAATGTAATATGGTGAGGTCACGCACAGCAAAAAACGAATCGAAAAGAAAACATTAGGGAAAACCCGAGTGTAAATTTTCCTTTGCAGTTAGCTAAAGGGAAATAGCAGTTTAAAAAAAAAATAGTTGAGCAGGGGCCACAAAATTGTCCAGGTGGGCCACAGGCTATGCTTTCACAATTTTGAAATTGGGAGTGGGCCTGAGGGTTCGGGAGGATTTGGGAGGGAGGCAAAGCCGTCACCCACCCGTAGAAAAGCCACTTGGTAATACGTGAACACAAGGAAGTAAAGTTTGATTGGTTCAAACAAGGCATTGAAAATGAGCGCCTATTCTTCAAAACAAAATGAATTGAATAAATAGGTTATTGAATTGTTTTGTATACTATACTTATGAATAGTGCAAGGGCTCTATAAGACACTCTGACGCCTAACTATAAATTCTTATTTAGCTCAAATACTTGCATTGTTGTTGTTGTTTAAAACGAAATATATACCTACATGCGATTGATAGATATTCTCTGGTTTAAAAACATCTTCACAATGTCAAGGAAGTACGATTCCTGTCCAATACCTTGACACCATAAGACATTTTTCTTGTATTACGGATGATTGCAAATGCAGCTACTTGATTGGATTGGAATAAGAGCCAGAAACACAAGTATCCAGATTGCTAAGCGACTCTGTCGAGGGCTTCGATTGGTTGTATTCGTTTAAATATAATCGAATCAATTGGCGGCGCTGCATGTACAATATTGAGTGTTACAGAAAGTGCCAAGATATTTACTTCATAACACCTTGACATTGTGAAGATTGTTTTTCAAAACGTAGTCGCATAACAACTACCATTATTGTCGATTCGGTTCAGACTTTTTCTAATTTACAATTCAGTTTTGTTTATGATTTGGCTAAAGTCTTGCATTGTATAACAATTGTGTTGAAAATGAAGCAACTTATTTTGTATGCTTTTTTACATGCATTATGTTGTGGGAATAGGGAATCTATTGTGCTGAATGTATTTAAAACCATTCACAATAGTCATAATAGGTGAATGTCATATCTATAAAAATATATAAATAAAAGGGAAAAGAACTAGGACGAGTAATACGGAGTTCTTCTTACTAAGAATTGGTAGTACATATAGAGTATGTGATCAAGAAAGATGACGAAATCGGCTGTCAAATTGGTGACCTTGCTGGTGATTTTCATGTATTGGTGGACACCATCACAGTCTGTATGTAAGTGTGCAGGAATAAGGCGGAAATAGCCGTCTCGGAAGCACTAGATGTGACATCTTGATTTTTATTACCTTTTAGAGATTCGCGCTAAGAGACGCCAATTCTCTCAACCGACCGTAGTAGGAGGGTAGTAGGAGTTGTCAGTCTGCGGTTGCTTACAGCAGCAGGGATGATACAACATGGTACATTAGCCTCCACTTTGATAACATTGTGGTTTATTTCAGTAAACATGTGTAGAAATGATACTGAAACAGAGGCGGTAGTTCATCTGTACCGTTTGAAAAGAGATGATGATCCAATAGGAATAGATTGTCACTGTACGATTCGACCTTTACCAGGAGAGCGAGTTGGAATGTACTTCAGTGCTAGTTACATTAAGGGATGTCAATATAGTTTGACTATATCACACAAGACGTCGACGCGTTATCTGAACTGTAATTCCAACTTGAACGTGATCAGATTCTATTACAATATTCGTGCTAATGATGAGATAACATTAGGATTAACCAAGCATGTATCGTCAGCTACAGATGGCTTTGATTATAGTTTAAAAATTGAAGCAGCTCGTAAGTTAACCTTTGAATAATCATTACAAAATGCATTGTTTAAAGGAATTGTAAAGAAGGTTTCTAAATTTGTAATGTGTATCGGGGACACTGATAGTATCAATTTACACTATTCCAGTTTTCAGTCAGACGTCTGTGGTTCCTATAATTCCACTAGAACTTGCTGGTTTGATGACGTCACTAATCGCGAAGGGCCTACAGACACATTTTGCAATTAGTGACGTCATGAAACTTACTTTTAGTGGAATTACTTTTTCTATATTTTGAAATATATTTAATGATCTGAAGCGCTTCGAGTCTATTTCCCTTACCCAAGATCGATTTAGACATCTAAAATAATTTGTTTAGTCTCTTCAGTCCAGCGTACCCTATACGACCCGATTGGTTTATACTTAATCATGGCTGCCTTCACGCTTTTAAAAGTATGGCGTAGGTCTCCAAAATGTCATATAAACATGGTTTTGCCCCTAAAAACTATTCCGACCCAAATTAGTCATTTTTATGGGTTCTTTCAGGATCGAAGGTATTGGTGAGGTGTTACGCAGCACAGTCGATTCCCACTACGACTAGGTCTTCTTCGACTTCGACACGTCCTACTACGTCCGCATATACCTCACAATCACGCCCTGTCTTAACGACAATTTTATCAACAACGCCTTATAGATCGACACCACCACTGTCGTCAACAGCGTTATTCAGATCGTCGACTCGATCAAAAACAACTTATCTTGTAGCTTCGCAATACAAAAGTACGATATTAACAAAGTCACAAGAATCAACAACACGACTAGGAATTTCAACATTACCAAGTACATCTTCACGTCCAAGATATAAAACATCGACACCACATGGTGTGAATTTACCTCCATGGATTGAAACCACTGACGGTCGCCCAACGACAACACAAGATCAATATCACAATCAATCTAGCACCAGAGATTCGACTGACAATGAAAGTAAGTTATATTCCTAACAAGGGTTCAAGTTAAGCATAGCAATACGCGAGTAAAAAATAAAAAAAAAACATTTTGCGATCTTGCCTATGATTAGCCACAATTAAAAGTTAACACGATGATCTGCGAATCAAATCAAATTGTATAATTTTCATTAAAACTTTCGCCAGATCTAGTTATATTAGACAACGATTGGCGGTCACCAGGAACTATGTACCCGTTAGTCTAGTATCTTATCAGTATCCTTTTTGCAATATGATAATATGAATTTCATTATTATATCAAATCAGACATCGTCGATCTGGAGCTGTAAAAAGTAACGTTGTACATGTATACACGTTTTAGTTAAGGGACGGAATTCTCTGCAATACACTGATACAGTCTAATAGGTTTGCCCGAAATTTTCCCACGAATTTTACCTGTATTTACTTTGTTTTCGGGTTATTGCCTATTCTTGTTGGAAAAGAGNA